TGAACTAACTCCCCCCCCCGCGAAAAACCCCTATTCCTTTGATTTCAGTGGTGGCGACCAGATCACGTGATGCACTTGTAAATACTGCGCAAACATATTGGCCCACAGTGCATTAAGGCTGGCTCCACTGCTGTTGAAAAAATACTCAATGCAGCACGAAAAATGTCGTCTAATTACGATACCACATCTACGTTCAGTCTCGTGATGATTGGTGGCTAGAAAATCCCAACTGTTTACTGTGGTTTGAATTATTTATCCGTCGTCACTCAACACCCATTCCACCTAATTGCTTTTATCTCGCTTGAACACCCGCTGTTTGCGTGATTAAAGGCAATCAGATTGATGCGCCAACAATGTACCACCTTCCAATTTCTGTCGAACACCTTGGGAATAGGACTCGGTTATTTGTGGTCGCATCATTCCCCATGTTTATCCCGTCTCACAGAACATAGGTGTCAGGTTGTTCTGAGCGATTTCACTCCGAACTTGCCTGTGAGTGAAGCTAATTGTTTGTTTCCGCTCATCGATGTTTGTGCTGTCACATTGGTGGCAGAATACCGGTTCTTCTTGTTTTCGTTTAATTATTGTGGTTTGAGAATAGTTCGTGGTACTTTTTAAAAATTTTCCATCAAATCAGTATCGCATACCCTTAGATTTTCAAAAGGTGGTGACTAAAACACTATTAGTTTGCAGTCGTATTTTATGTCTGTACAGTTGATTCTTCCAGAAAAAATAACGCTTACTCTTTGTTATTTTTCCCTTCAGTTAATTAATCTACGTCTGCACGTTAACTGCTGCGCTTTATTCACTCACTCACAGTTTAAGGTGTATAAATAGAGTGCGTGTCTTACTTTCGATCCTTTATGGTGATTGACATCTTGTTGAATGTGAGCAATGACTGTATGGAACTTGTTTCGAATGTGGACTTTCGAATGGATGCCTCGTTTTCATGGATTGATTTATGCCAGCACTGCTGTTTCAACCGTAATTGCTCAATTTTTCATTTATTACGGGACGCTTTTGCCGGTAAAGGTTACCGATAATGGTTATTGACTGCACACAAACTGTGGAATTCGGACATACATTTTTCACTCCATTGGTTAGAAAATAATATTCCACATTTCCTGGTCTGGATTTCAGTCTCTTCCAGTAACTATCAATGGAACTAACGCACCACTTTGAACCGGCTCTCCCCCGTGTAGATAATTTGCATCCAGGTAGTGTTCGGTGTCAATGTGCGTGCTGTTCGTTTAGCACATAAAAATGACGACTTGGCGCCGATCGACTTATTCAGCATCCGTTGAGGAGAGTTTCTGCATAACAGTCACGTGAAATTCGCGTTGTTCCTTAAACACTGGCGATGGAAAGCCCTAGCTGTCTGAATAGTTTTTTTTTTCAAAGTTGGCGATCGTGCATTCGTGCACAGTTTAGACCCGTGTGTGGAACTGACAAAGTCGATCATGTGATATTAAACGGTGGTTACATTCACTTCAAGCCTGTAGATCTTATTTAAAAGTCTTACAACCTTTTACCTCCCTATTGTTACTGGTAATCTCAAAAATTTTGCCCATGTATTGGAAGTTGCTTCCACGGGCGGCACACAACAGTTTAACGCATTCTAAATGTGTAATTCCGTTGAACACGTGATATCGTAAAACAAAATGCGTGCACTAATAGGGCGTTCGTTCAAATAAGTTTTTGCTCGTTACACACCAGCTATGCTGTTACAGATGGATTTTATGTTGCTAGTGCCCGATGAACACTGCTTGTTTTGCGGCTAACTAATCGGTTCCGTTTTTGACCGTGTAATTTTGCGCAAAAACTAGCTGGGTTACGAAATTCGGGTTTCAGACAGAATGATACATGCAAATCTCTCAATCACTGTCATCTCTGAAATGTGCACTAAGAGTAGTTAAACAATTTTTCAATAGTTCATCGACGATCTTTAAAAGAACAAAAAACTAGAACCGACCAAGGAGTATTTTGGTGGACGCGAATGCAGTTAACAATAAGACGTCTTGCAATGAGTAGTTGACAGATGAATGATTGAGCTGAAATTCGTTCACTAAAGTAATTGAACAATTTCCGTTTCGTTTGTGAATCAAGGTTAAAAATTACGCGCGTATTTCATAACTTGTTATTTCACATTGTGGTTTCCATGTGTTCTAGTTTGACATTCTGTCTCTATCACTACCTCCTTCGACGTGTAATACGTATCGAGGATCCATTCCTGTTCCATAGCATGTTTCGCATTACAATCTGTTGTGGTCTAACATGCACCAAGCATATGCTTATTTCCTAGATTGGGTTTTACTGTTCTAATTTGATTTGAAGAATAATAATGTGGGAACAAAGTGAAAGCGCGCAGTTTCCCTGCCTTATTTCAATACCGTCGGTTTGAACACGGTGATACTATAAGATACCACCTTCCAATCTGGCCGCTAATTTCCTCAATTAATTGAGTTTGTCCGTATCTTAAACTGGTTCCGTTGCTGGTTGCTAAAACCAATAATGGGCGCTCATTCTGTGCCTGACTGTTCGGTAAAGTAGACTGTACCAAGAGCTCTTTTTTCTGCGTTTATCAAACACTGCGGCTGTTCACTGAAATTTAGGTTTCCCCCGGGCGTTCTCATGGTATTGAAAAACAATTTATCATCGTCATCGGTTTCTCACGCTTCCGTGCTTTGTGGTTCCACTGTCGGAGGTGGAATTAGTTGTCTTTCCATTGTTCATTGTCTCTCATTGCTCTCTTCCAATCGTTCTCATCAAATCGTGCGTGTACGCACTCACATATCCTGTGTATCGATATATACGCTTGTAATAACAAGCGCACACGAACACGAATGTTCTGCCCGGGGTGTGTCTGTCTGTATCTGTCTTTTTATCCATTCCCTCTGCTTGCCCACGTGTGTGCTTGTTCAAGTCGTGACGACAGTGCGACATGTCCATTACGTGTCAATTTCATCTCTATGCTGCTCACTGCATGGTCTCGGTGATTGTGTGCCTTACCGTTCCCACATGTCGGAGATCGAAGTGCTGTATGGAGAGGCGTGGTTACCATAATTCAAACGATCAGGAATCGCAGTCGCTCTGTTTCGGTGAACAAGTTTAAAATTGCTTGATCTTTTCTCTGCATATGTTGTTTCATTCTACATTAAGTTTTGTGACGATCAACCTATTACCATTCGTATAAGGCACTACCAGTTTACCATACTTGACCATTTCGATGGGCATTCACCGCTTTTCTGATTAAACTTCTGTTTTGATTAAACTACTAGCAGTTCATGGAGCCTTATTGCTTTAGTTATCAGTCATCGCACAGTTAGTTGATTGACTCGGCGTAACCCAACTGAGCAACTGACGCCCTTTTCTACGGCTTCTATTCCGGTTGCTCGTTCTACCTGAAAAAAGGTGCATACATTGTTTATCACGCGCATTGTGAATTAAACAATGCACGCGATTTTGCTACTGATTCCTGCTCAATTGCAATCTACAGCGTGTCACTGTCTGGGATTCGCTGATTAGTTGGGGGCGTTTTGGTCTTCTTGCTTTTTTGTCTATCTCGCGTCCATACTCCTTAACAATCATCTGCATATAGGAAAACAATTTATGATGTATCACAAAGCCTTTTGAATTAAAGTATCCTCGAACCAATGGTCACTTCTTTAGGTATTATGTGAACTCCCCTGGGTCATCTATCTGGTATTGATCTGTTTTCAAAAGTCTTGATGTCATTATTTACTGTAGGCAGACTGCAGACTGATCATTTCACTGAATTTCTCTTTACTTCCAGTGTGTTTTGTACCTATGGGCCCTTAAAATCCTCTATCCGAACACGTTTTTCCTGCTTCGAGGCAATCATGAATGCAGGCATCTAACGGAATATTTCACCTTCAAACAGGAATGTGAGTTTTCATTTGTTTTCTGCTGTTTTCCGTATACGTTATTCTGCGAATATTCCCAAGCTGAGCGCGCACATTCTAGTTAATTTCACGTGCGATGCTACGAAATGTAGCTAGGTTTATTTATTGGTCAAAAGGTGTCAGTGTTAAGGTACAGGTATGTGTATGTTGAAAACAATCACCCACAATTACAGTTTTATGCCTGATAGTTCTAGTTTCATATTTTATACTGTAAATTATGAAAGAACGCAGTATTTGTAGTGCTCATCCCTTACTGAATTCGGTCTTACGGCTTCCGTTCAGAAAACCTAATCGTACGAATGTCATCCATTCCAGCAGTGCTCTCTTTTGAAGTCCTCCAAACTTCAGACCGTTTAAATTGAATGATCCCTAATGAGACAGTGATGCAGCGTCACTGTACACTTTCACTCTGGGCTGCACTGTCATTGGATGTTGTGTCTTCATGTGTATCCATCGCGTTTCTGTGGCCCTGATTTGTTTGATCGGTGTCATTAAGTCTCCTTCAGTAGTCGCTATTTGTATTTATCAAACGGTAGATTGGGCATTTTCCATATTTGCTGTGTACACAACCATGTGTAATGTTGGGATAGTATAACTGTTGCGGATCTTACTTCCGCTGTTAGATACGTGTTGCTCGGTGAATTGTATTTACCATTCCTTGTATCCGTTTCTCCTTACTTACGTGTCTAGTATCTTTCTCGTTCATAACCTTCTCTTTGTATTGCGGACGTAAAGCCGCGACAAGCGTACTTTATTGCAGTCTCGTGAAGTGAGTTAAAAAGAAGCTAGGTCATTTGAGCACAGCTTCATCATCGTAGCCCTCTGTCATCCCTTCATTTTGTGCACCAATGTACCGAATGTATTTTTTAAATTATATCTGGTCATCTCGATCATTGTTTACGTTTTCCGTTAACTGCAGTCTTCACTAAATACGTACGTCAAATATTGCATTTACAACGGACCTGAGGGAGCAGATATCGGTTCCACTTGGAGACCACTGTGCGTTATGTTGTACATTTCTCTTAGCTGTGTCATCTTCGTGGCCACGCCAGTGAGGCTAACAATTTCTACTTGGGGAAACCGTTCTACATGATCTAGTAAATGATTCAGCCAATTATACGGAGATTGAAACGTGCGGTTTTGTAAATACTTTACAATTTTGTATTTTCTTTATCCAAGCGTCTTGGTTATCATATAGGAATATCTCATAATATATTGATAGATATTGCTGTGCAGCTGTGAACGCCTGTAAGCCAAGCCACCGATATGCACCCATCAAAGTTTGTTGGTCCAGATCCACCGTCACTCGGTTCAATAGATCACTCCCATTCCCAATACTCAGTTTGTCAATATGATAACGTTCCCTGCTTTTCTCGTCAATTTATAACCAGCAAAGTTAAAATCAATATTCAGGATTTGGAGCGTGACCAAACAATCAGTACGATGATAGCTACAGTGTTCAAATATACCACTGGAACGTAAATGAACAACAAGTCTTTATGGATACCAGGGTTCACCCCTTGTCTTCTTTTCAGTGTGCTAAGTTGTGTTGAACTGATTGTAACACCGGTAAAAACTACGTTTATTTTGTTGAAAAGATTGTCCGTCTTGTCTTATGGGAATCAGCGAAATGGCAAGCAGATAGGTCGAAGTGATTCATTTGAACTAACTATCTTTCAAACTCCATTTTCGCTCACAATCCTTGATTCATCCAGTCAGCCATACACTCGGTAAGCACTGGACTCAAGTTTCGCTCTACTTAAAGCCCATCAGTAGGGAAGGTCACTTGAATCATTCCATTACTCGTAAGTAATTTTGGGTCAGTTGAGGTTGGAATGAATTGCCGCATTATGCCACGCTAGTATTTAAGCAAATTCGATTTGAATCATTCGATGATTGATGATGATGGACTCAGCTCTCCTGTTTTCTCATATCCAAAAATATGAGAAGGGTTGCATTTGGTGGAAGATAAATCCTGAATGAGCATAATACGTCCTTAGTGTAATTCTAGATAAATACCTCTTAATTTATTGGTAAATGATTGTGTATTCACCTGTTGCAAAGGTGTGTATGCACATTTGAGCTTTGTCCCCCCTCTCGAATTAGGTCCACATTCTTCCGTCGTACATTTTCGTGTCTACTTGCGTGGACTGATACTGACAGTCCAGAATGAAGTTTGTTTTATCTGGTATTCAATATGCTGTGGCATTCATTTTTCATGTGTGATTCTGCAGTCCCACGGTACCTTACAGCCCATCGTAAGGCAACAAAACTGTCTTTGCAGGTACTCTGATTTTCTTCGTCGTGCTCATAGCTTTCGGCGGTACTCCGTCGTACATATACACATGTATTACCAGTAGATACACAATGAACAATCCTGTGGATCGTGTTTAAGCTGCCTCGAAATTCCTAGTTATCAGAAATTATGTGGTTGAAAATAATGATGCTCGAGGCCTGTTAGTACGACTTTATTTCTGTTAAATGTTAATTGCACTATGAAATCCAGCACCAGTTTTCAAAGTGATCACGACTTCTGTGATTGACATTTGCGACTGCTCAGGTTTCTGATTTCCTTTGCTCATCTATTTCGTGCGTACATCTCTACTATCAGCCGAATGCTTTGTATCCTGCGTCTAATTTTATTGAACAGTAATATATTATTGTATTCTACACGTGTCTGAGTCTTGAAGATGCACGAATAAAATCGCGGTACAATGATCTTTTGTACTATACAAATCACTGCACGAGTTGCTTATTGGCAATACAATCCACAGTTATGTTGAGTGCGAATACACCAACCCGAGCTTTGCTTAAACGTTTTACAAACGCTTTTCCATGGTTCGGCTGGCATCTACCTATACCACTACGGCTTTACCAAGTGTTCCCGCGATCAGTTTGGGGTGTTGGGTAGCGACTGGCCGATAGATCGATCACATGTGTGCGTGACATTTACAATAAAATTTGCACTCCCACTCTGGATCGATACTTATTGTGTTCGGATTAAGTTTGAAGCTCTTACCCCGGCCAAATTTGTTGACGCGACATTACAGAACGAAGTTTCTATTTTCATTATTCATCCATGTTAATACGCGCTGATTTTTTCAGGAAGATCGCAAAGAGAGGAAATCACAGCTTGTCATGTGCGGTCCCAATTAACGTTTCTGTCAAAATGGAATGATTTACTTCTTCTGAATTTTGCTGTCTGTCGGCCTATAAACGACCACAGTACCAACACAACCTGTAAATATAACCAAAGACGAGGTTCACAGTCTTATCTGTTAAACTGACCGCCCTATACAGCAGATATGATTACCAGAAGTTGTGGTTCTGTGCTCAAAATGATACTCCAGTCGTTTCGAAGCCTTTGGATGAGCCACCTTAACCGCATGACTAACCTGAGTGAATTTTCCTTCGTCCATTCATTACGGGAAGTGTTCTTTTCTATTGAATCAAACATGTAACCAGCAGAGTTTATCACTCGCGTATGAAACTGATAAACTAGATAGGATATTGTTCGCGGAAATGTTGGACCCCACACTCTCAGTCGGGTCTTAGGTTTTTATCACGTTAAACGTTTGAGTAGACACAAATTATCAATAACCATAATTATTAATTGACAAAAGTTGCATGCGAATAATTGTTTATCGGTATTCAGATTTGTATTTTCCAACTCACTCGGCATTCTTTCAATACCCTTGTGCCATCGTTTTGTATCTATTACATCGCCTTTTGCTCAGGGTGCTATCAGACCAACTGGTTTTGGGTACTGCCTGTGGTCGAAAAATAAATTAGGCACACATTCGTGATTTCTCATTGCACAACCCTCCACAATTGCGGTTAGATCACGTTTTGTTCACCCCTTTCCATATTTCAAGTGTTTGTTTTGTATATATGAATGACTTTTGTTCATTGCATACTTGCATCGCGTGTTACCCCATGAGTTACCTCAATCGCAATTGGTATTTTGGTGCTTTTGTGTATCCGAACGCCAAATCGGTGATCAGTTTTTTAATCTTTAGACGATTACAATTACCATATGCACCACAGATATAAATAACTATGTACTCATCTAATGAAAAGTGAAATGATTTCATGCTTTTCACTTTTGTTGATATCTATTCTCATTACCTGCAATCGATCAAGTAGACCACGTTTGCTGAGTTCCATTTCCTTCCTCCCACCCAACGCTACCCCAGAGATTACTCATTCAGTAGTCCCAATTAATGCACTGATATTTTTCATTCTTCGAATGTGATCTAGGTAAGATCAAGTATACGGAAGAAGTTTACGATGCCTGTATGGAAGCATTCGATTGTCTCCCACTAGCGGCGCTCATGAATCAGCAGTTCCTATGTGTTCATGGAGGTCTTTCGCCAGAAATACACACACTGGATGATATTCGACGNGCCCCCCCCCCCACCCAATTTGCACATTTTGCTCATGGCCGCTTCGCGCGGATCCTACACTAACAGATACTAGGTGTTCAAGTTACTTTGAAAAATTCCTAGCGTTCAGCACTTAAGGACCGCATATGCAAGGGTTTTTGTCAAAGGATATACATATGCTATATATATCGTAATGGCTAGTATTTAAGTTGCTGCGTAAAATCTCCCTTGGGTACACGAGAGTATTTTGGCGGCCGCTGGTCATCAGGTATCTGTCTGGTAATATGTTATGAAATCGTTTATACAATTGTTTCTAGGATGTGTATTTTTTTTCAAAAATGTCTTTGGGATATATACGTGCTGGAACGCAAGCATATCGCTTTGTGTTTCATGATACTGATGTGCTACCGCCAACGCTAGTTGAAAGTGGAGTCCAACCGTCTCCGTTATGATGGGACCCATTGTGTTTACCCTAACGAACCAGCCGGTCACGCTGAACCATATGTTACGGTGTTTGCTCTCCGCAATCGGAGATAGAACACTGACCGTTGTGGGAACTATTTATCTGAAACTCACCATCGTATTCTTCTAATGTTCATTTTTAAACTCCACAATTAGGTCCGCCGGTGCGTCGACCCTGCTGGAAGAAGAGCTCCAGAACACAGTTATCAGAATAGCAAAATGCATCACTCCAGTCATCACGGGCTGCCTGAGTGCTCCGAACACGAGCTCGTACATGACGCTTGCTGGGATATTTTGGCCTTGGTTGTGTATCTGTGATCGATTCATGTCTTATCACATTTGCTGGTATAAATCAGATCACTGTTTTCAATGTGCGGCTCCATTAGTGCAACGCGTGATACTTCGGAGATTGTATCACGATGAACTGCATTGATTATATCCCGATGTGACTCTTGGGTTTCCGCAACCGAGGAATATCTAGTGTATACTGCTATTCGAGCTTTAAGAACGATAACATCACTGATCACACAACGATACGCGCTCGCCTCGAGCCTAATCTAACAACCCGATCCCGAGAGAAACATACATCGCACTATACTACCTACGGGAAACAATGCTAGCTCTCTCATTTGCTGTTGCCACCACCACCGATAATAACAAAAAGGTGAACACTCAGAGTAGATGCAGGGGAAAAAATAGTAAGCAACGTGTGACTAAACCGGGGAATATATCTGAACAACATACTAAATGAGTTGAATTAGAAATGCTATGGGATCAAAAGAGGCGCTACTTTGTCATTCACCAGGAGATCTACGATGAGACAACGTTCGTTTCACTGAGAGAGATAATAGAATAAACGACAACAGCAACAACAACAAAATCAGTTGCGGCTGCTGACTAAAATTGAATCCCGCTTCCGATTCGAAGACTTTTGAGTGATCATTATCCCTTGGCACCGCAGCCTACGGATTCATTTTCAGCACACAGGAAGTAAACAACTTGCTTATCTTCATACAATCCGCCGAATCTTATTATGTACTGTGCTGCTCTCTGTTCCCGCACATTTCGTCAAGTTGCCGGCATCCAAAGAAAATCTCGCTGGCTGTCACCTACTGCTCTTTTGCTCTTTTCTGTCTATCTCTCCTGTCCTCTCCTCTGTGCCCTCATTGTTTGCATGGCTTTTTGATCTATCGACCTGCTTGATGTACTAAACTTTGTGAAATGTATGAATAATAATAGCAAATATGTAATCTTTTAGTTAGCTCCTTGGTTACTCAGGGCCACATCAGGAATAACTTTATAAGGATAATAGTAATGCGACACAGGAAGGAAAGTTATCCACGGATCTGCACGAAAATTAAAGATCTATCGAACATTTTGAATGTTTGATAGTTCTGCTTGCGAGATCCTTCCGAGGATAGGACTATCCTTACCATGCTTTCTGTTACCCTTATAAAACGGTAGCGACGCAGACAACTTTATGTAATTTAACGAAAATGATATGAGTTTTCGTTGATACTGCTCAATTACTTTGATCTTACCAAAAAGGCGCTTTATGATAAGTCATAGGAGGTGATCTGTGAACCACATCCTCATCATAGGAAGGATCCTATGGTATCGTTCAATTCTCGCTGTTACTCCTTCCCCCCTCCCGTCACGGTCACCGTTACCCCCAAGTGTTCATTCCATTTTTCCTCTTTGTTTTGGTGATCAGATCGACCGGTACAAAGAACCTCCTCCGGCTGGACCAATGTGCGACTTATTGTGGTCGGATCCGGTCGAAGAGTTTGGTAATGAGGCATCCCCTGACCATTTTTCACACAACACCGTACGAGGATGTTCTTTTTTCTTTAGGTGAGTTCTGCCTGTCCCTCCTATTTAATAACACTTGAACAATGAAACGAAATTCACGGATCGGTTCCTAATATGTACACATTCTCAGTGATCTTGTGCGTTTTCCTCTCCCATATCACACGCCTTGCATAGTTTCCGATCATAACCTTATTGACTCTTCGGCGTAACAGAGATTTTTGTTACCGTGATTTGTCATAAGCTTGATAATTTTTCTTTTACACATTTTCTAGGCAAAGTAATTCGGGTATTTTAGCGTTTTTTCCTTACCTGCGTAAAATACTAGATTGTTCAGTGGATGAAAAATACCTAATTTAAATAACAATGCCATTAGCTTTGTAATCAGCTGAGTAATAATATGAATATATGTTCCGTGTTTGTGCCATAGAATTTTGTTCCATTATTTGTTTCTGAACGGTGGTTTAGGTCATGTTGTTTCATCTCATCGCTGTTGCACTTCCTTACTTTACTTCCCAAGAATGACTTTCCCATTTTTAATTCGTTTTTATGATTATGTGCTCATTTGGGTCTAGCGGCTGTAGAACCGCAGTGTCGGATTACGGTGAACGTTAACTGTGATGGCACCGAAGGGTCAAGCATAATGACGCAAGGCCATTTCGGTTGCGAATGGGTCAACTGTGATTCAAGCGGTCTTCTGTAGAACGTGGCTTGAAAAACGAAAAATGACCATATACCCTCGAAGGGTCGGGCTTACTTGTAATTTAACGGATGTATAGAAATATACCATAAGAGAATGGGTCCGATCTCATGAAATTTCCATTACGTCCTCGGATGGTAAAGTCGTCAAACTTGCTCCCTGCAGGTCCTGAGTTCGAACCCCACCACCACCGCCCATCCCATTTTCTGCATTTTTGTTTGGCCGCGGTCCCGTTCCTGAAAGTTTATGTACATTTCTGTAGTCAATAAACAAAAAAGGAGGAAAAANAAAATGTGACGTGAATAGCACTGAAAAGTAACAAAAATACTGTACAACTGTGTCAGCCTCGTTATATATATATATATATAACGAGGCTGACACAGTTGTACAGTATTTTTGTTACTTTTCAGTGCTATTCACGTCACATTTTCTACATTAAGTAATCTAAATTTCAGTTGATTTTCTGCTACTACTGAAATTAGACCTAAGTTGGTTCAAATCGGAAATGCGTTCAGTCGAATAAGGACTACATTTCCAAGTACAAGTAAACATTTCTGTGCCGCTGCAGTTATTCGATGTACAGTTTCCTGCTGACCAGGGGCAGTCGGGAGTGGTCCCCTTCGACTGAGTGTTCTTGTGGGGTGGCATATGAGATGAGGGTGAACGGTGAAATCTAGTATTATCAATTAAAGCCATATTAGACAAGTAAATCGGATCGCTGCCGAGAATAGTTGCAATATACGACCCAAGAAAGTCAATTAAGAACCCTGTGCATACAATTATACCAACATGTATTGAACCGAAGTGAATTGAAACCTTTTATTCACGGGGAGAACCACCCATGAGTTTTCCAAGGTTATATATTCCTTAGGTGTATTTACTGTCACCTTTTCATCGATTATCATGGCGAAAACGGCTTTTGTTTTGGCCTTTACCTCTCTCTGTTTATTCGCTTCGTTGAATTTAATTGCATGTCTGAGATTCACCAGTCTATACGTGATCCGCCATTCCAAGTCCCTGGGCTTAGGTTGACGTTTTCATCACTGAACAGCAGATCTTCACGACTATGATTTCCACCCCATCTACTGTTCATCACACAAATGTGTGCAATAAAAAGTCCTTAGTCGAGTTTTCCAACAAGATTTGCTGAAAGACGTTTGCTAAACGGCTGCATATTTCCCCTAAGTTGATACCCTTGTTAAGTAAACGAGGAAAGCTGGCGCTTCAAATGAGAAATAAAATGACATCTTCCTGATTATTGGCAGAATTTATGAGCTTCAGTGAGTGCATGATTTGTGAACATTAGTTGAATGATATTCAGAATTATTTGGGCTGTCAAACGCTCTGTTATTGCTCACATGGTCATAACCTAAACACCCGGAAAGCAAGCAGAGTGATAGCGTCACATAACTGCAAAAATTGCACAATCCTTGGCTTCTTACCACGCAGCTATTCTTTCGATCCATTTCCGCCACTGCGTTGGTAAAATAACCCGGGCCAAGTGACCTGGTTTTCACACATCCCATTCTTATTAGTAATCGTTTAAATGTGATTCCTGTGGCTTTGAAGGGAATTCGCGGAAAACATCTGCCTACGCTAGCAATAAAATGAGAAGTCACAAACTGAAGTTATGTTCACCCAATAGGATTTTAAATTAGACCATGGGTGGCTATGAAAACTCAAGCTTTCCAGGAGAAATTTATAATTACTTTGACGGGTTGTATGGGAAAAGGCTAAAAGAAATTAATGAAATTGTCTGTACACTTTCGGAAGTAATGCCCAACAATCGAATAAGTTTAACCCGGAAAATAATATTGTCTGTCATAAATCTCGGCAACCGTTAAAATTAACTCCACGGGAAATGCAACTATTGTGACTGTAGAAAGTGCACTGTAAAGATGGTACCGTAAGTTAGAAAACAATGTCATGGGACACAACTGACTTCATTTTCTGGCAGGCAAACTTAACGGCCTTGAGGAAAATCCGTTCTGACCGGTTTTATTGCTTTCGGTTCTCTCGATCTTGGAGAAGTAACCCCACTTTCAACGCTGGGTGGCCTCGAAGCGATCTCCGTTTATTCTCTGCATAAAACACAGATCGTTTGGATTTGTGTGCAGTTTTACTTCGATACACTGAATGGTAGACCTCCAATAAGGTTGACAATAGTTGACCATTTACTTCAAGCCCGTGCTTTGTATCTTAGATAATCAGGCACTTGTACGAAGGTGCCAGCCTGATTTGACGAATTTCTCTCGTCAGACGAGGAACTCAGATAAGCTAGCTGGAATCACCTTGACGTGTTTTCCGTTCATCCCAGTCTTCCTTCCCCTAGCTCGTCAATCTACTCTGTACGTTGGAACTTTGTTTCAGTGCGCAAATTTATGACGTCCGAAGTTTCGAATATTTTATGTTCTTTGTGTTGTTTTGATTAAGCTCACGAGCAGTCGTTTCACAGTTCTGTCAGATGACTAATATCACTTAAACTAATCACCTTACAATCGACTACTTCTTAGGTGGTTCATTGCACAGTTGTAGGTCCTGTTACACCATTCACTTCCGGTTGGAAATGCGATCACGCGTTAGTTATAATATCCTTTTTCATTCGGCTTCTTGGGGTAGTTTACTTTCCTAGCGTACACTCTTCATGCTCTTGTAGAAAACTGGCTCTCTGTGCGACGAAATAGGAAGATTGAACATGCAGGCTACATTGCATGCGTTTGTCGTTTAGAGTGACTCATTCACTTCAAACGTTCCGTCCTCTTCACCAATACTTCGCGCAATGCGCATGGCGATTTCGTCGGAAATGAATGAAGTTAGCCTCAAATCACTGCGGTATATGGGTGGCTGTTAGCATATGAGTAAAGTCAGCAGTCCAAACAAATGCAGGTTATGAAGTTGAATCTCGTATCCGCGCTCATCTTCCTCGATTATGTAGGCTCACCTCCCGGACAGCTTGTGATTATCCGCAACCAACTTCCTAAAAATTGATAATATTTGTGCTTTATGCTCTGATGCTAAAGAGGATAGAAAACAATAAAATATGTTATCAAAGCCAGATCGACGAACCCAAATAACCTCACATAATTGTAATGGCCCGTTGATGAATTTATCAAAAACAGCTTGTTTCACCTACCGTACTTTGTTTTCAATGTGGCAATGGGCATTTTTCATTTATTCAACAATGACTTCACGAAGTGAGTCGAGAATATAACCGTGTGACTCCATGGAGCGCAGCATTACGTTTTAATTTGTTCCATGTTTGAAGTACTCAATTTAAAATTAGTCTTTATACACACTGAGTAGTTTCTTTGGGGTTACGCGGAAAACTGAATGTTGAAGTACTTCATTTTCTATTTTTCGTTCGAAAATGCGACCTAAACTACATGTTAACCGTTTTGGTGAACTTGTAGAATATAGCCACTCGATTATGAATAATGTTATACAACTTACTCGACGTGATATTGGAAAGTTAGAGCGGAATCCCTCGTAAAAAACCCATTCGGATACACCTATTTTTTGAATTTCATTGGTGTTTAGTCTTATTTTCATAGTGATGTAGCTGTTTTACACGTCTTCAAATTATATTCAAGCTGGAGTAATCGGTTTTAGAGTGATCCGAATAATTACGGGGCAAATGATCAATGCAACCTTTGCTCTAGTTTTATCATTCCGCTCTGCTGAGCCGAACATTGAATGAATATTAGACCGTACGGTGGCCTGAATTCAGCATCCCATCGACTTCGAAAATGGGTTTTTATATCATCGATGCAGTTTGATTACCCACACACCACTACTCCTAACCGACTGTCCTGACGTAAATGAGATCGATCTGGTCTCGTCAATCGAATTTTGACCTAACCTCATTTTTCCTGTCCGTTGTACTTTCAGTTATGCCGCATGCTGTGACTTCTTACAGGCGAACAATCTCCTTTCGATTATCCGTGCGCACGAAGCTCAAGACGCAGGGTAAGTATCACAAATCTACTTTCGTTTTGATTAACCTTCAGGCTCTTCACTTCCTTTCCCCCCAACATTGTGACCTATTTCAATGCTGTCGGTTATTACATTTCCTTCCCTCTCTTTTTGTCTGGTTAGCTACATCCTAATGCATTCTGTCTGTCTATCTCATACGAAGTCAAATGTCTCACAAGAAACCGGTTGCGAACGTTTGTTTTGTAATCCGTTTCTCTTCTCATTGCAGTAGTTTGGCGGTTCGTCAATGAGCAGCACCAATTTGCATAACTATTGTTTACTCGTCGCATTGATCCACCTGAATTTGATCGCTGCATCCGCTTGTATTCAACAAGTAGTTATTGACTCAATCTGAATGAGAAAAAAGTACTAGATAACGTTTTTAAAAAAATATCCCATTAAACTCTTTCGGTACGGAGTGTTCTGAAATTCTTCACATATGCTTGAAATAAGAGTGAGCTGATAGTCCATACACAACAGAAGTTCTAACATTAAATAGACTAACGGTTGTTCCATTTTTGTTCTTCTTTCACCCAGTACTTTCCATGTATAGATTAACTACATGTGCATATTCGGCGTTGACACCTCTGAGTAACATTATTGACTGGTTCGCTATTCATTGCCTAAGTCCTCAAATTATAGCCCGGGTAAACAGGTGACCTGTTGACACTTATATTGTTTTAGAAAAAGCACTTGCGGTGTGGTTACATACATCGTCCTCCACATCTCATCCCGACAGATAAACAATTGTTTCAAAGGTTTTATCATGTCGATTTCTCTTTGGCAATTGAACCAGTTGCTTGACGACATTGTCAATCCGTATTCCATGCTCATTTGAGGTGACTGTCTTTTGCCGGACTTGAGTTAACGTGTCGCGTTTAGGTTGCTCCCCAATCGTTCATGTCACTCAGCATTCGAATTTTTCGTTGTGCATGCACGTATGCATATATTTGAGTATTTCGGTGTTGGCTTACGTGAGTTGGCTCTGTTGCACACGCTCACTTTCATTGTACCTAACTACCAGGAGTGAGGTGGTTGTAACCAGACAACCTGATTCCATGCGTGTGACCATCGTCTTCATATCTGTTCGCCTGTCTCACGATTAGTGTTATATCAAGTTGACGAAACATTTGAACATCTGCTGTTTGTGTGTTCCCGTTGCATTCGGCATTGGTTCACTATGTAGCAGATGGTCGAACTGTACGTATAGCTCTTTTGGTTTATAAGGGTTTACACAGAGGGAAGGGAAGGGATGGTGGTGTGCCATGGATTTTGCTTCTATCGGAATGTTTTACATCCCGCCTGCTTTGTATCGCATTCTGTTTTGTTGACTTGTGGCTCATATCCAGGTCACCACTGGTATCTTTTCTCCCGCGCATTCTCCCATTCAATTTGTGCTCGTGAAGGTCGTAATCCTCATACCAATGAAATGGCTGTTGAGAAGTTTTTGCTTTGGACTATCGTTTTGTTCTCGTTTCGTTTGGAATTCTTCACCAAATCAATGCAGTGGTACCGTACCCGTTCACGGCGATCCACGAATTGTTCCTCACAACTGGTATATCATTTTATTCTTTGAGCTGCTTCCTGCTACCTTACAGGTCTGAATTTCTAGCCAAAGTCTTCAACCCAGTCCAACAGGAAGTAACTCTCCCCTAAAACCCATTAACATGTCACATGTGACACCGACCAATTCTCATGCGTTAAATGTACATAAAATATATATACTCTTCTATTGTATTCAGCCATTTTCTATGGTTAGGCTGTTGACTGGCATTAATTCCAAACGTTGTTTTCCGTAAGAGTTGTTTCCACGGCGTGCGATGTTTGCTGGGGAGATTAGTGAGTGTAAAACAGCCAAGGGTTGTCAAAATAAGACCTGACACGAGGGTTTGAAAATCTTAACCAAGGGACTCGGTCATATAGGTTGTGTTAGGCTCCCTGGACGGGGACCTCGGGGTCATTGTAATCAACGGTTAGAGACACTGATTAATATGACTGATTGTCATAAACAGGGGCATTCGTGCATATTCTTAATTTCTCTGCAGCCTTAGTCCACTGAAATTCCACATGTTCACTTCGACTCTACTTTCAAATTTCTGTCTATCTCCTACTGCTTGACCCAACTTGGCAGTCAAAAGACAGCAACCAAATCCGGCGCACAAAAGCGTATGGTAAATTATTGAACCTGAAACTGATAGGAATTTTAGCTCCTCAGTATGATACCCAACCCAATTTTTAGTATCGAGTCCATCGGCTCCTCTCATTTATTTTGAATCGTGTATTTTCATATTTTCCACTAATCATACTCCGGTTTGATCAGTAGAATCCATTCCGTGATAGCGATTTTTGTATTTTTTGATTAGGTGGGATATCTCAGTCACTCAAACGATGCGAGCACGGGGTGCATCTGTGCATGTCTCGTGTGCTTTTGTTGTTTTATCGAATGACAAAACATCATCGCACTTCAGCGATTCACCGTGTCATAGATCGTAAATGTGCTCATAAATTTCCTCCAATCTATTATGTTTGACAGATACCGGATGTATAGGAAGAACGAGGCTACCGATTTCCCCTCCCTTATCACCATATTCAGCGCCCCCAATTACCTGGATGTGTATGAGAATAAAGGTAAGTGGCCTGGGATTATGTTCACAATAACTTGATTCCAAGTCAACAGTGTTGGGGAAACCGAACAAACCAGATCCAGAGCAATATTATTGAGTCGAGTGATGTCTGGGGAATGTCACATTCATCACCAGTTAGGCTTCTTTGGTCTGCGGTGTGTTCCGAGCAGGTCAATGTCGAACGGACTAAATAAACCAGGTCTTGTTAAGTTTTACAATCTTGAACGCGTGATCAGTCTTATCATTGGCTGCGGTCACTATGTAGTATGGACGTTTGTCTTGTCCAGTAGAGCTGGTGCATCTACTTGCGTTTTTACTCAGGTCAATAGAACCGGCATTGTGTATTTTTACTTTCTTGCCACTTTCAGCTTTTCGTTTGAGTTAATTCTCTTCGTCATTAACCGTCGAGATAGGTAACCGACAGGCGGCAATCCTCACGCCGCACGGGATGTCAGTGTTAACGGTTACAGAAATATAACTGGACTGGATCCATTCATATGTGAACAATCAATAGGTCAAATAACGATGTTCTCACATCTGCCACGTGTACTTTACTTTCAGGCGGTCATCAGCAATTGCTTTCTTCTTTGTTTAGGACTGCAAGGGTTTGAACTCCTTAACTGATTCCTTGCTATAAAAGATGGTAACTGTAGCAACATTTCTCGGTGGAATAATACCGTGCTGCTGCGATGCAACACTACGAACTTTCCAACACACTTGCTAATCTATTCTGAAAATCTGGCTTATGAGGTGGACGAAGCTGAAATTCTTTTTGACGTAAGACATGCTGCTTACGTACGTCCATGGTGGTAATATTGCAGCTACGCTATTAATGGTCAATAATGCCATAAATTTTGCTCCATTTTTCTTTTAAGCACCTTTTTCTGTTTGTCACTGCAAATGATGAACGGCGTTTGTTGCTTTGTTGCAGTTAAAAAAGTAGAGTTGGCTTACCGGTTTGGGAATTGTGGTTCAGGGGATCAAACTGAACAGTCTAATTCTTCAGTTAAATAAAACTGGTACATCCATTTCTGCGATTTATGTTGTGCACTTTATGTGTTCGGATTGATATTTCCGACAATCTATTAGCATGACCGCGTGGTTTCACATTTGGTGTCCGTTACGCTATCCGTACAAGTTTACACAACTTGTTCGGCTCATGGTAACGTGGACCACCTGTATTGCGGATTCACCATCTGTCTGTGTCCTCGTAACTGGAGGCAAATGTTTTTAATGCTTGATCTCGGATGTAGCTGTTGTATAGTCGTCTCGAGCCAATCCGGGCTTAAACAGTGTTTGTCAAAAGTGGTTTCGAATGCGTAAGGAAACTCTACGCATGCGCTAAATGCAGATTATGTGGGACGAATAACTCGAGCAATCGTTAACCGTGCACTACTAAACTCTGGCTCCTGTTGCTATCCAGGGCCATTCCAATGAAAAACTTAAAGTTGTGTCAAAATGAAAACTAACTGTAACATTGTGACTGTGATCGAAGTAAATGAATCTGGTAAGGCGCCAAGGTAATTTGGACAGTGTTCGGGTGAACAATTGACTGATCGATTTCCCCTCCTGACCAGGTCCGCATATATTCTCGTTGGAAGCTGGGCTTCCTATTCCGATCACCTCAGTGTTCTGGGATTCTGTTTTCTTTGAAGTATACGCCATAAAAATCACGGATATTGTCTGTTTGTTGTCCTTCATTATAGCTAAAGCTAGGTCTGTAGCGGAGCAAGTGCTTCCCCTAAATGTATCATGGTTTTTCCCACTTCTGCTTTCCCATTAATCTTTATCACATCCTCATGGTGTTTGTTCTGAAGGGATTACTGCTTATTCCCAGGCACACAGATAGTATTGTGCTACTGAATGCTAAAACCCAGATATGTTGCTAGTTTCTTTAGGACGGGTTATGCAGTTGTCTAACCCCATTTGGCATCTTGCGTTTTCAATATACACAATTCTTCCGTATAATTGTGTGGTTAGCCGTATCTTTCTCATAAAACAGCCATTGCGTAACATGCTTTCTTTTCTCATCGCTTATTTTTTAACATTTATTACGTAAATTATGCGTTATCTGTTTCAGCCGCAATTTTGAAGTACGAGAACAATACGATGAATATCCGTCAATTCAAATGCTCTCCTCATCCTTACTGGCTTCCCAATTTCATGGATGTGTTTACATGGTCCTTGCCGTTTGTTGGAGAAAAAGGTGGGCTTCATTGCTACGGTTTTTCAGAATTCATTCTAATTTGTGCGGTGCACCATGAATTATTTAACGGTTTGTCCATACCAGTCCTACTACTCCTTTTCCCATTAAGCTCTAGTCAAAACCCGCAGTCCTTTAGTCCTATAGCCAAAATCCACAGTGCTTTATCCTCGACCTGCAAACCTGATATCTTTTCCCACAATCCTTTAGACAAAACCCGCTATGCTTCAGCCACGACCCGTAGTCCTTTAGCCTCGACGCACAAACCTTACTGATACCGCTGTAGACGCTGTAGTCAGATCAAAAGTATCGGTACATTATGAGATCAACGAATGTTGAAGCATTTTATTTTCCACAATTGTTGATGTTGCAAAACTTGATTAGGAAATAAGGTGCTGCTTAGTTGACGTCTTAGTGGTATCAAATACCGCACCACCCACGTATTGATTGGAGAAGGTTTAAACAATATGCCCTTATCGTCAAACCTTTTGGCACATCTATTGTGGCTTCAATGTTATAATGTGCTAAATAATGAGCAAATTTAAGAACTAAAAGCACACTATTTGAATGTACTGATGGCCTCTTCCAGCGGATCAAAGAAGGGACTATATGGTGGATGAGATCGAATTTGGTGTCTGGCATGTATCTGCGCATCCTAAGCTCTCCGATGAACGGGCGTATTGTCAAAAATGAAAGCAACTGGAACACCCGGTTGCTCAGTAGCAGTAAACGTGGATCAGCTTTCTAATCACCTATTGAAAATATACCAAATGATCTTTGTCTGACGTTCACATTTCAAGATACCGGCGACGGGTAAACATGCTCTTATGTTCGTTAGGGTCGTTTGCTGGATGGGAGGTATCGAACAGCCATATAGCCTACTTTGGAGTGTCCATAGCTGCCACAGCACCATGTGTTGTATTTGATCTCGTCAATATATATCCTCAGTGCTGCCTTACCCGATTCCCGTAAACAATCGGTTTATTACGCTCGTTTTATTTTGATAGTTGCCGAGTTCCTTTCCATGGGCTGGATGGTCATCTTCTTAACCGAACAGTGATGTTCATCCTGCAATGGTTTAGTCGAGGTCTTGCTGATTGATGTGTCCGGGAAGTCCTTCTCCATTATTCTTCTCGATTCCTCAATGTGCTTGTTGGGTTCTCATCGACAACATCACACGAATTTTTTATGAACTCGTCGTTGAACGTCGCCTTTCAAAATCCAGGTTTGATTGTTATTTCCCGATTCGTTTCCGCAATAGCACAACTTACTTTAATCCTAAAATCGAAGTGTTTTATAGCTTCTTTCAATTCATCACCTCTGCGTGCAGATTCAGTTACTCTCTGTCGGTCTTCCGCACTGGTGAAGCGATGGAGCCTTTTCTGTCCATCCGATTTTAACGCTATCCATATTGTAGGTGTGTTTAATGGTAGCTAAGGTACAACAAGTGTTACTGCCGCCTATCGTGGTACCTTTTGATCGTCCCATTACCGATGAATTGAATGCCACATGACGTTACTACAAGGGAAATCTGAAACGTGCTACTCCTGTAAGTAAAACCGTCAAATGTTGCACAAACGGTATATTGCTTTAAATTGACAAACCCTGAAATAAATCACAAAGTGTTACCACAGAAAGTAAAGACTTACTGGTCCGTATCTCCATTGAAAGTAAACTCCGTTCTTGGGATTTGGATGTGTTAATAGGGCGAGAGTAATAAACGCCGTTCACAGACACACTACCATTACTATCATTAGTTTATTAACGTGGCAACGTTTGATATAAATACGACTGTTGAGCTTCAAGAGTTACGGGTTTTGTCTAAAGCTTTTTGGGAAAAGGTGTCTTTTGTCGTAACTATTTTCATCTTAGATGGTTCGCCAATTCACTGCTCAATTAAACCACTGGGTTTGTTGAATGAACTGGTTACCCCGGTCTATGCTTCATAGAAATCACCAACAAGTTATGTTTTAAACATGGTTTTTATGCTTATTGTATCGCTTTTGTTTTTAATATTCAATTCTTCGCTGTTTGTTTTGGTTTTCGATTGTAGTCGCTGTTTGGAATCGGGCATGGTTTTGTGTGCAGTAAAATAATGAACTATTATTTGAAATTCTAGTTATAGATTAAAATTTTATTCGATAATGTTTACTCACAAAATCATCCTCAAGGTCAATATATTTAGATATTATATATATATATATATACTTATTATTAGCGAAGGAATACTGTTCATGTTTAGTTCGTTCCCATCTAAAGTCTGTTATGGTATTCCCGTTTCTCCATTCTTGGACGGGTTTTCTGTCACGCCACGAACATTTAACTGCGTCCACCAATATGTCCATTACGTTCAGGAAAAGGTGGTGAATGGTACTGTTAAAACGTGACATTTATTGTTTGCAGTTTATTAGACATAACCAGCTTTCAATACTGATTCAATCCCAATTTAAATTGCGTTATTGCTTCTGTTGTCCTGAAGATGCTAGTCATCAAAATGGTTATTTCCTAGATTACTGTGTATATTTTGAATAACATAATTCCGTTTTCCTTATCATCCCATACTTTAGTCACAGAGATGTTGGTTAGTCTGCTGAAGATCTGTTCAGACGATGAGCTGATGAAAGAAGGCGACGAACCGTTCGATGGTATGTTTTCCACATGCTACCGCGTCAAAATGTGCTTTTTGACCTGCATACAAGCATATCACTTGTGTATGCACTTTCGTCTTGTCTATAGCCTAAATGAATTCCTATGTAATAATAGACCCACCTCCTCTAACCAGATTATTGAGGTTGTAACTCCCCCTTATTATTTCTTCTCGTCTCTCACTTCATTTGGTTTCTAACATTTATAAGTTTAAAAAAAAATGTTCGCATTTGCACAACAGGTGACGTTTGTATTCTGTTTATCGTGCTTTCAAATGAAAACTGAAATATACGTAGAAATATATTTGTTAGGAGCTGCCATTACTTTTTCACCTTCTGTCCTTAGGACGCTATTTTGTGCCATCGTAGGGTGACCTAACATAACTGATAAATCAGTTGTTTTTGTGACTCTCGTTTTGTTTATTTGACTTCATGTCAGAATGTTGTGATTCGTTTCTTTTCTTCTCTCTTTCCATTCTACTGGGGGTGATAAGTTAGAGCTTGTGGTGGTAACGTCAAACTTCCACCAGGCCGATCTTTTGATGGTCAGCTTTTATATACAGTTCATGTGTTGTCCGATTACTTCCTCGCCTCCGTCGTTGTGTCTCCCTCTCGCACGATATCTCTTCGTTTCTTCTTTCCCTAATTTATTCCTCTAAATTCCTTGATGATATTCTCATTCTCGCTTTTGTTAAACTATTTTTCATATCTCGGAGTCACACCTGTATCTGTTCATGTGTCATTTTGTCTTTGTTCCCTGGAATTGGTCTGGATGACCCATCATTCCACTGCTTCACATGCGGTGAAACGCAGTCTCTTATACGACATAAGATTGGTCACAGGTGATGTCGTATCTTTTTCGTTGTAATATGCATTACAAATAAAGAATCGGAGAATATTCGACCCCTGTTTCCTTGGGGTTGTCAGATAACCACATTGAATGCGCCTGACCGGTATTGATACCCACTAAAATATATGTGGGCATCGTGTCTTTGAAATACCTGCTGTTTGCATTCGTTTGTATGGTATGCCCTGATTATCGTGCCCAACATACTTCCCACGTCATGTAACCCTGTCACCACCGACCGACCGCCACCACCACCATCATCAGCAGCATCATTATGATGACCATTATTCTAATCATCCTCATCATGACCGTCATCATTTTCATTTCCACTATTATCACTATTACCACTGACATGAGTACCTTTATCATTTTCATGTAACATGTTTATTCTATGTTGCTATTTAATCACGCCACCTCGCCACTGCTTGCCTTCTCATTCCCGATCCAACACTGACCCATTCTGTTCCTACCCTAAACAGAAAGTGAGTTTTCTCTCCTTTTGTTTGTATACATGCGTATACATGCTCCATGTGTCGTCTCCCATTCCCTGTTCAACGAATCATTCTTGCATTTCATCTCATCCTAGTATTCGTCTTTTTATGCCTCTATTGGTCTGATTAATAATTTGTTTTTTTGGGTGCATTTTCACGGCTATTTCTCACTTAGATATACGTGTAAATATATCCGTTAGTCATGTACTTCATCGATCCATACGTGCTTAAGTTCTTCACACGCCATACATCTTACTAAGATGCACAAAATCCAAGGAAATAAACCGCATTTCATTCGTTTGTTCACCCCACGCGATTGCCTGTGTCATATACACTACGGGCATTCTGGTCGTTTGTTCATCAGCAAAATTCTTGGTCTTTGATGTAACATCACTCGCCGTCCGTCCGTACTACACACATGGGTGTGCGAGTATCGTTGCCACCCTTTCATAACCTTGGAACACGCGCGCTCGAAAAATTTCTTTAGCGATAATGTTTCTCGCATGCAAGCTTGCGCATTATGCGTGCTTCGTCCCTGTGTTGTGTCAGCACGTCCATGCGCTTATTTATTCCCCTTCCTCACTTTCCGCATACGTATTCCGATTGTGTGCATTCCTATACGTGTGTGTGTGTATGTGCTAGCCCATTCGTGAACTGACACATGCACGGGTGCGGGTACTTTCGACCTTGTCGTTAGCTCTGTTGACATCATCCAATATACA